AAACCTAGATCCAAGCATTAGGGTTTGTATGAGCACATAGGATTGTTCTTATGCTTAAAACCCATCACCAAATCCATCAAGATATGATTTTTATACACTAGGGACTTTAAAAACATCAAGAAATGCAAAAACTAAGCTTCTGGAGTAGCTTTTACTCACAAGAATCAACCCATGGGACAAAAATATGTCAAAACCCTAAGCTAAACTAGATCTAAGCAGTACATCATAAAGGTTGAGACTTTATACCTTCTGGAATATGATGAATAAGAGTAAAATCTGGATCTACAAGCTCCAAGCTAACCAACACTTCTCCAATGATCTCCTTCTTCTTCAATATGCACCAAAAACACACCAAATCACTCAAAGTGCTCAAGAATCTCACAAATGGGTCTAGGGTTTCGAAGGGACTACTTTAAAGGATGGAGGGTGAAGATAAGTCCAACCTCAAGGGAGATAATGAGGTTTTATTGGGTCCAAACCCTAAAAATTAAGGCTTGCATCCTGCATGAGTACGACCTGCATACTCAATAAGATCACGCGTGTAAATTAATGAAGTACACCCCACGTACTTCCCTAGTTACGCCCCGCGTAACGGCCAAAATGCAATGCTTTAATAATTAAAATTTAAATGATTTTTACATGGGAACCGGGTGTTATAGTGACACAGAAAATATGGTCAAAATTCCTTATGCATTAACGTTAAGGAGTTTTGATGTATGTTATGGTTTGCATGGGGGCATATTTTTCCCATACACTAAGAGCTGTAAGAAAGTTCATGTCAAATCCAAGGAAAAAGAACTATGAAGTAATCAAGTGATTGTACGCTACATGAAAGTAACATATATGGTTGTCATATATTTTAAACAAAAATAGGTTATTTTGAAAGGATTTATCGATGTATATTTGGGGGGTTGTTCAAATTAGGATATGAGCACTACAAGTTATGTGTTTACAGTTGAGGGATTAACGATCAGTTGGATGTCTAAATTTTACAAGAATTATTCTATTTCAATCAGAAAAGAAAAATACATGTAAATTTTAGAAGCAATCATGAAGTTTATTTACGAATAACTTCCTTTTAGAGTTGGACATAAAACATGGATATTTTGTTCTTTGTTGTGCAATAATGTGTAGTGCATCTTGCAATGAATTCGGTAAAGAGGATGAAACAAATTTAGACGAAATAATATTTTATCAAATAACTAATCACTTATGGTACTTTCTAATGTAGGAAATTCTACCAGGAATCCAACATACATGTTTAATAAGATTGTGACAATAAACAAGTTAAATCCTTGTATAGCTTCAACTCAATAAATGATTGATGGGAAGACATCA